AAATGTGCAATAATGAATGAATGGAAATTTAAAAAAAAGAATATGTTCAAACCTATTAATACCAAATAAAGTATATATTTCCTAAAAAAAACCCAACTGTGCCATTTTCATGTTATAGTCTTTCCTATCCCTTGCTGTGCATCTGTGATCTGAACAATGAATAAGGATGGCAGAAAAATGTATGCCTTTGGGTTGTGGTGTTGGATATCCATTCCATGAGCTGTCAAAAGAATATAGAGATACGTCCTGGAGAAAGTATAGCAAGAATGCTCCTTGAAGGCAAATATGATAACACTTCGTCCCACATTCTTTGGGCCTGTTGCTAGGAGAAACTATCATTTATAGAGGAATAGCTTGGAAAGGTGGAGGGAGGGCAAAAAGAAGCAGCACCTCAATGATAGGGAGTGACCCAGTGACTGTAGCAGTGTTTCAGAGATTGTGAAGATGGCACAGGATAGGATAGAATTCAGATCTGTTCCTAGGGTTCCTATGAGTTGTTCTCAACTCGACAATTCCTAACCACAACAAGGATTATTAATATCACATCCAAGTAAAATATTGCTGAAGATTATTCCAAAACAGCTAAATTATTCCATAACAGCTAGAATCAATACAGTACTGTGTTCTGCTATCCCAAAGGTGTGTGGTTCGAATCCACCAGATGCTCCAACGGAGGAGAGGCAATCTTCTCCTGTGTCAATTGGATCCAATTTGACAGCACACAGCAAATTTAAAAAAAACAAACAAACACAACTTTTTAAAAAATAATAAAACAGTACTTACTGACATTCAGGCTGGATTTAGAGGAAGCTGTGGCACAAAGGATATCATTGTTGATGCCAGACATATTTTGGTTGAAAGTGGATAATGCCAAAAGGATATATACTTGTATTTTATTGATTACATGAAGACATTTGACAGTATGTATCAGAGCAAATTATGACTGACATTGGAAAAATCTGCTGTCAGTGACCCGTCCAAAGTGCTGAAAAAAAATGATAGAAATTTGAAGACAAAGGTGCACCTAATCCAAACTACAATCTTTTCAGTTAATTACTATGCATCTGAAAGTCAGTAGATAAGAATGACAGAAGAATCGATGACACTGAGTTGTGGTATTGAAGAGTTCTGAATATCCCATGGACTTCTAAAACGACAAACAAATATGTCTTGGAAAAGGTGCAGCCAGGGTGTTCCTTGTAAGCAAGGACAGTAAAACTTTATCTCACATATTTGGGCATGTTGTTCAGGAAAGAGGAGAGAGTCTTTGGAAAAAGACATCCAGCTTGGAAAGTTGGATGGTTATTGAAGGAGAGGAAGACCTTCAGCAAGATGATTGACACAGTGACTCTATCAGTAGATTTGGGTAATTCTGATATTATCAGGACGGCCCAAGATAGGGCAGAGCTCATAGGGTTGCTATGAGTCATAGTTGACTCTATGGCATTTAACAATAACATCTTTTTCCTCTTGTTATTGTTGTGTGCCATGGAGTTGATTCCAAACTACATTGATGCTATAGGACAAAGCAGAACTAACCTATGGGGTTGCCAAGGCTATAAAAATAAATCTTTATGGAAGCAGACTGACACATCTTTATTCTATGGAACAGATAATGAATTTGAACTGCTAACCTTTTAGTTAGTAGCAAAGTTCTTAGCCTTTGAACCACTAAAGGCTTTTTTTCTTCCTCTTACTACTTGAATCTCTTGTAAATTTGCTTCTGTCAATCTTACTTTTCTCTCTAAAATGTAGACACTTTTAGGATGTTTATTCTCTCTGTTATACTGATTTAAAGCAAATTTTCATTTTTAGAACGTAATTTTTCATTTATTCCTTCCCATACTTACAACTGTTTTATTGTTGCTGTGTGCTGTCAAATCAATTCTTATTCACAGCAACCCTGTGAGCAGATCAGAACCTTACTCTATCCTGAGCTGTCTTCATGATCACTACCATGTTTGAGCCCATTGTTAATTGTCACTATGTCAATCTATCTGGAGAGTCTTCATCTAGTTTGCTGACCCTCTGCTTTTCCCAGCATGCTGTCTTTTTCTAAGTATTAGCGCCTCCTGACAACATGCTCCAAGTATACGTTCAGTTCTTGTTATGTGACATGGCGTTAGAACCAAGTCATTGCTGCCCCTCTGGTGGGTTTTCAGAGGCAATAAATCACACAGGAGTAAGTTGCCTAAGCAAGCTGGTAGATTTGCAGTTACCACTAACCCAGAAGAGAGTCTTAATTTTAATTTCAAGATTACTTCAGTAAATCTCTGTTTCTCCCCACTGCAGTATAGGTGGACTCTCTATATAAAAATCACTCTCTCTAAAAACTAAAAGGAGCCATTCCAAATTCTTTGCGGGATATTTGAATAAAAATGACCATTTACAGATTTCTCTTGTGTTAAAGGTCTCATTTTAGATACTCTGCAAAGTTTGCCTTATTTAATAATCCTCATCATAATTCTGCAAGGTTATTACCCACATTTTATATATGAGAAAACTGGCATTGAAGGATGTTAAGTATTGCCTGTCCTCCATATCCTATTTCTCTGTTCAGGATTGATTTAATTTAGTCACTATTCCTTTTCTATGTGAAGTTCTTCATTGTTCCCTCTCTATTCTAATAAACATATGATGCTGTTTTCTTAGCAAAATGCCTTTGCTTTTTCTGTACCTGTCGCGTGGCATATCCATTGCCCTGTCTTCATCCTTCAAATCCCAGTTTAAAAGTCATGTCTTAAAGTTTTTAACTTGTTTATGTGCTGATCTTTTAGCCTGAAATTTAATATACATTATATTAATGTAAAGAATATGCCTGTCATCTTAATCATTAATTCATGGCTAAAGCACTCATGTTTTATGTACAAAGAGTTCTACTAGTTCAGTTGTTAAGTTCTTGGCAGTTAACTGAGGTCAGTGGTTCAAACCCACCTGTGGCTCTATGGGAAAAAGACCTGGTGATCTGCTTCTATAAAGATGATAGTTCACAAAAAAAAAAAAAAGAAGAAAAAAGATTATAGTTCAGGAAAACCTTTGAGACAGTTCTGCTTTGCCCCATAGGCCCTCTTTGAGTCAAAATCACTAAAGCAAAAACAAGATTCAACCTTGACTTATTCAAGAAGCTGAACTCTATAAGAAGTATGTGGCATCAGGATTGGAAGAAGACTCATCAATAACCTTACTTGCTGAAAGGGGAGACACTTGAAACACCTGCTGCAGAAGATCAAAGAGATGGATTTCATCTCAGGATCAAGAAAACAAAATTTCTCACCACTAGACCAATAGGCAACAACATGATAGAGGGAGAAAAGATTGAAATCATCTATTTATTCTTACTTGGATCCACAATCAACACCCTTGGTATCAGCAACCAGGAAATCAGGAAATGTATTGAATTGGACAAGTATCTCTCCAAATTACTTAAGAACAGTGATGTTAGTTAGAGGACTAAGGTATGCCTGATTCAAGACATGGCCTTTTCACTCATTTGCTATGCATCTGAGAGCTGGACAATGAATAAGGATAAAAGAAGAAAAATCAATGGCTTTAAACTGTGGTGCTGGAGAAGAGTATTGAATACTCAATTGACTGCCAAAAGAACACAGATGTTCTGGAGAAGATGTAGCCTTAGAAGGTACTGGATGTTCTGGAGAAGATACTCCTTAGAGGCAAGGACGGCAAAGTTTTATTTCACATACTTTGGGCATATTCTCAGGAGGATCTCTTCCTTGGAAAAGGATATCATGCTTGGAAAGGCGGGGGTCAGCTAAAGATAGGAAAACTCTCAACAAAATGGATTGACACAGTGACTACAGCAGTAGACTCAAATGTCTTAGACATGATGAGGATGGCACAGATAGGGCAAGGTTCAGATAAACTTTTCATTAGGGTAACTATGAGTCATATGCAACTCAACGGCACAAAGCAACAGTAGTAAATGATAAATTGCTTGAGAGGGGGTGAATCAGGCCACATTTCTTTTGAATTCTTCCTCTTTCCTCTAAAATCTGAATATATAGCCTATACTAAACTGTAGTGAGCATTTCATTTGCTTGATTATTGACTATACTCATATTACATGTACTTATTCATTTACCACAGAATATATACATCCTAACTTTTATTTTCTGGTGACTATTTTTTATAGTAACATTAAAGGAACATAATGTGATGTGATGATGCGATGTTATAGCCAAGAAATACCATTTACTGGTGCAGCATGTTAAAAACCAAGGTACTCATCCTTTATTTTTATAAGTGCTCCCTTCATTTTAATAAAAATATTTTTTCATTTATTCTTTGAGAGGATAACAAACACTTTGCAAACTTACTTCAACTTGGAATTGTCAGCCGGAAAGGAAGGAGATACCAGATTCAGCTGGGGAGCCATGGGCAGCCTAAGGAGAAAAACAACCCACTCCAGCAGTTAATGCACACATAGCTGCATGGTCATTTTAATTTTGCACAGGGATTAAATTCCCCAATTCACAAAATATAATGTACATGTAAATGCCAAGCTCTCTCTTATAAACACAAACAAGATTTTCCTGGATACTAATTTAATTATTGTGAAACAGCATGTGTATAGACATGTATGGGTCTTAAAATAAATTTCTTCATAATGAATTTATTCATATTATAATTGTTGTTCTTGTGTACTTTGGAGTTGGAACTGACCCAGCCCATTTTCAGAGGCACTTTTTTAGGATATTGTCCATCTTTCTCCAGCAGAACAGCTGGTAGATTCAAATTGTGTGCCTTCAGAATTACAGTGCAGCTTCTTACCACCAGGCCACCAGAGTTCCCTGTTATTATAATAAAGACTACTATATAAATGAAAACATTTTACTATTTTAGCATAAATAGATTGAACTTAGGTAACAGTGTACTAAAGAATCCTTTATTGTATTTCGCCAAGTATATTATGGTTTAGTATTAGACACTTAGTTTTTCTTAAAATAATCTTCCTATGTAAGATTTTCTTAAATATGTTTTAGGTTCATTCATCAAAAAAAAATAATTTAGCAGTCACTGCAGTTGCTTTACAAGATCACCTTTTACATGATCTCCAACTTCACAATCTTTCAATAACAAATAATTCTAAGACAATGGAACAAAAGAAAGAGAACAAATCCAAATCACTAAAAAGGGATACAAAAGCAATTATAGACACTGGACTTAAAAGAAAAACCACACAGAGCCCCAGTGTGGAAGATCCAGAAAAAGAATATGTTCTTGATCCAAAACCTCCACCATTAACTTTAGGTAAGTTAATTTAGTCATTCTGCCTTACTAGAGTTAGTTAATCTAGTTGATATTAATTATGTAATTTTATGGTCGATGTCTTTTGATTTATAATGATTCAGAATGACATGTGTGCACTGACATTTAAAATATTGGGGACAATTTGAGCAAGATAACAGAATAGGAATTAAAAATAGAATAAAATAAGTATCAATTAGTCTAAAGGAGTTCTGATGTTCTAGGGTCTATATAAGTTCTGATGTTCTAGTGGATAGAGAGTTGCAATGCCAAACCAGAAGTGGGTGGTTCAAATCTACTAGCTGCTTTGCAGAAGGAAGATGGACTCTCCTCCTGTGTGTTTTTCAGCCTTTGAAAACTTACTGAAGGATCATCTATGAGTCTATTCTGACTTGATAGCAGTGAATGAGTTCATACTGGTAGATAGATATAGAGATAGATAGATATAGATGATAGACATAGATCATAGAGTATAGATGGAGAGAGAGATAGCTCAATGGCATTATAGATAGAGATGGCTCAATTGCAATTTAAAAAGAACAAAATCTTTTATAATTTTTTAAAAAGTCATTTCATTTAGGATTTTTTTACTATATTTCCCCCTCCCCCATATTTTGCTTCAATTTTCTTTTCATCTTGACCAGTTTTGGTAGAAATGTGTCTTTACAGAAAATGCATTGTGTTTCATACCTGGTATATTTTTTTGTTTTATTGGTAGTATGTCCTTATCTTTTCTTTTTTGTTGAGATTTTTTGTTGTTGTTGTTTTTTAATTGTTTTATTTCTGATTTTTTCCTTCAAAAATTAAATGCTTAGTTCATTTGTTCTCAAACCTTTTTCTTTTTTCTCCCCTCTGTTAATGATATTTAAAAGCCATAAATCTCACATACTACTACTGTTTTGACTCTACCTTGCAAACTGGAATCTAGTACATAGGCATTTGGCTCCTAGAAATATATTTAATTTTATTATATTTTTTTTCTCTTAAGTGAAGTTGTTGAGCCACGATATAGCTTTGTTTTCAGACATGAGTTTTCGAGAATTATTTTTAAAATTCTTTTACTATTGATACTTGAAAATACTTTTGAAATTTAAATTTTTTTATTAAAGCTACAAAAATAATGCAGAATTTCAGTAAATCTACTTCCCTCTAATGTTAATGCTTTGTATTATCATGGTGTATCTGTCAAAACTAAGAATTAAAAATGGCATGACACATAATGCTACTGTTATAAAATAAGACTATATGGGGTTTGAGGGAAAATGAAGAAAAGAGAGGATAGATAATGAGCACTGCATTGAAATGGAAGAGGAAAATAATTATCTAAAAGGATATATGATTAGGTATTATTTTCATGATAACAGACCAGAATAAGGGGTGCATAGCAAAGTGGACTGGGGCAGGTGAGGGTGGAAGGAAATTATGTAACAATCAAAGAATCTTTTTGGGGGGTAGGGAGGGAAATGTGGTGCAACAATGAATGAATAGAAATCCAAGTTTTCCGTAAACTTTCGTTAAAATATCAATTAAAAAGAAGAAAGGGGAGTGGAAATGGCATCACACACTACTCCAGACTTTATTTGGATCTCCCCAATCTCTGTTCTAGAATCCCATCCAGGAAACCATTTTACCTTTCACTGTCATGTGCTTTGGGTCTCCCCTAGTCTTTGCAGTGTCTCAGTCTTCGTTTTGAGGGGAAAAGTGTTTTTCCCAGAATTAGACTGTTTATGAGAAGCATACCAGAGAAGTAAAATGCCCTAGACATCAAATCATATTGGAGTACGTGATTGTCAGATCCCTTATTTCTGGTGATGTTAACCTTTATCACATGGTTGTAGTGTTTACTAGGTGTTTTCTTTGGTAAGTTTTTATTTCCCCTTTCCATAATCTAGTCTTTGAAAGCAAATCCTGGAGGGAGCAATGTCTATATATACTATTGGAAGATTGTTCTCTTTCCCCCAATGTATATATTCATTCAGTTTGGATGTATAAGTACGGACTTGTGTATATTTCTTTTATAGATTGGATTATAATAAAATACTGAAGCTGTTTGTTGCTCATTCACTCCTTTACTTTGTGTTTGAGCACTTTGTGTTTCTGCTTCTGCAGGATGCTCCAGAATTATCTCATTCTCTTGCCCCGGCACTAGAATCAGCTATTTCTAGAGAGAATGAGATTTTAAAACCAAAGTTTGAGCTCTTGACCTCTACCCCGCCTACCCAAAGGTTTTAGGATTGGTTGGTTGTTTCTGCTGTTGTAAAATTTCACAGTGGTGGGACTAAGTGTGATTATGTATTCATCTATCATTATGTGCATTTGGTAATCCCTCAAATTACAAACACATGTCCTTCACTACTAGGAAATGTTTTGAGTTCTTTCCTTTAAAACTTTTGCTATACATTTTCTCTGTACTTTCTCTGAAATATGTATTATTCACATTTCACATAATCTAAAACAATCGTTTAATTTTCTTATTTCTCCATCTCCTATTTTACCTTTTTGGGTTTTTTCCTTACCTTGTATGGGACTTTTTAGTCGATTTCCCCATAAAATTTTCTAATTTTCAAGAACTTTTTTTTTATTCTGAATGTTCTTTAGTCCTAACTTTCTGATATCATTTAATAAATAACATATTCTTGTCTGTCTCTGAAGATATTTAGTGCTGACACCATTTTATTCATTTCATGTCACTTTGAGGCTTTTGTGGATTAGTGAAAGCTGAGGTTCATGTCCCACTAGTGTTGTGCCCCAGTGTATTGTTGTTACTTTTTCAAAAGTCCTTATTTCCCTTTGGATTATAAGGTCTATAATTGACTCCAGCTAGATGTAATGTGGGTAATCAATGAGATTGAATCAAGGGCTTTATCCTAATGAAAATTATGAATTATAAGAATTTGGTAGCAAGGGAGCACAACTGATATGTATATTATAAAGGCTTCTGGTTTCAGACGCAGAATTAATTGGAATGAGACAATGCTAAAATTTGAAAGATATTACATGATAAATTATTAAGATTTAAGATCTTGGGCCAGTACATGTGAAACATTATTTTTCTTCAATTTTGCATCTATAAAATTGGATATTAATCTTTCTTGCCTTATAGAATTATTATGAAAATGAAGTCAGATATAAGAAAGTCCCTTGTAAATAAAAACAAAAGTATTATTATAAAGTACTATCACTGACTTCTATGGCTCCATTAAAAAAATTGTACTTTAAATGTTTTTAACTAGTCATATGTTATAAATGTATTGCTTTAATATTTGCAAAATAATGTCATTGAAATGTCATATCAGTGCCATATTTTTAAATCCATTTAACCCTTATTTTGTGTTATTTTAACTTTAGCACAGAAGTTGGGCCTATTTGAACCTCCTCCATTGCCACTATCAGCAGATGAATGGGAAAAAGTGAAACAAAGATCCATTACACAAGGTGATTCTATGCAGCCATGCCCTATCTGTAAAGAAGAGTTTGAACTTCATCCTCAGGTATTTAACACAAAGATTAAATAAATTAATTTCATTGAACTGTTTTATATTTATTAGATATTGGTAAGTGCTTCTTTTCCCCATT